GAGGTTTCGGCACTTAAAGAGTTATTCCAGAGCATGCTGAACGACTCATTGTTAACTAATTTGCGATCGTTTACCATCTTTAGTCATCAGGATGCAAAAATCTTGAACAATACGAACTGAGCGAAGAGCAAAGAGGACGTCGACGTGATGTTCGCTCTGCACTTCTTTCTCTGAAGAAAAGCGGCTCATTCGTCAATCCCATTATGACGTTCGGTGAAAAATGGATCCTATATGTCAAGATGACTTCGAGCGCAGTGCTTGACAGGAAATGATGGGCCTGAGCACTTCTTAAAAAAGATTGTCTATCAATATGCGGTTACGATGACTTTATCTCTCGTGCCAGATCGAGTCATTTACTCTAACTTTTTGGCTGTTCGCAAAACCATCACAACAAAAAGTACATTAGCGAATGCGATGAAATCGTGTAAAAACTACCACATGTACCCAGTCATATCAAAGAGGAAAGGTCTAGTCCTTTTCGTTTATGCCGAATGTTCATTTAACGTTCAAAACCTTGTTGCACAACTAATGCGGAAAAAGTTGGATTAGCTGGAAACGTATCCATGTCTCACCCTCCACGGCCACCGGACCCAGGGTATAGAACTTTCTACAAACCTATTAATAATCAGTGGAGGAAAAAACCGTCAACAATCTTACCGTTGATGAAAGCACGTTCAGGGAATTCGTCACTTCAGAAGCACCAGAATACTAGGATATTGAAATAAGCAAATATCTGTCCTGTTCATGTAGGTTTTAGTGGTTCTTACCTTGGTTAATAGTGTTATGATTCACCTATTTTATAACATTTTGGATTTCCTGTAAAAAAAATATAGCCATTCTTTCTGGGCCAACTTCATTCTTTTCTTCTTCTCAGTGCACATCTATTGTGGATATGCACATCTAACAGATGGTATCGATGAAAACAGAACCTTTTCGACTTGGGAAATCGACATTTCGCGCTTCGAAACCCCATTAGTTACGTACAGGAAGTGCGAAATTCTGTCCAGCCTGTGCTCATTCTTTGTTGTTCAGGCCATTCTTCAACCGATGAGTCTCCAACCTTCTCATTTTTCGCTTCCTTTGTTATATACTAACGCCATCATACCTTTATTGTCGTTAACAGTTTCTTGAGCTATTGAGCTCACCTCTAAGTAACAATAATTCGTCGTGCATTAAATATTTATCGTCTGACCATATTGTCTTAATTATTTTTTAACATTAGAAGAAATATGACCTCAACAACTTACGAAATCGAGTAAAATTGTGGAGATCTATTAGTTGGTAGCATATGAAATGTATGATTTAAATGTAGGTTTTAAATAACCATAACTTTTTCATACTAAATTTGTTGGTCGAAATAAGCACCATTAGAATTAGCAATTTTTTCCCAACAAGAAGCAGGTTTTGTGATTCTGTTAATATAAAAATTGTCGGCTGTAGTGTCTGTGATTTCTTTAAAGGCATTTTCAACGGTTGTTTGGTAGTTGAAGATTTTTTCGTCAGAAATTAGATCAGATGCTTAAAAGAAATGAAAATCCTTTGGCGACAGATCTGGCTGGTAAGGCGGATGTGATAAAGTTTTGTAGTGCCTCTCATTCATCTTTCTTAATGTCATTTGAGAGACGTGCGGTCTCGCTTTACCATGAAGCAATATTAGTCCTTTCCTACAGACTAATGCCGGCTGCTTGACGCGTAGCTTTTGACCCATTTCTTCGATTTCAGGACAATATTTCTCTGATGCAGTGGTTTCGCCAGGTCGTAGGAATTTGTAATGAATTACACCGGCCACTGACCACCAAACGGAAACTATTGCCTTCTTTGGATGCAAACTCTATTTCGGCAGGTGTCGTGGGTTCATCGGCGTTTAGCCTTTGGGCACAACGCCGACGATTAATCGTACAGTATCCACTTTTCATCGTAAATTACAATGCGACTCAAAAGTAGATCTCCATCATTGCGAATCAGTAGCCAATTGCAAATTGCCAGACGACGAGTTTTTTCCTTTTCATTGAGTTCGTGTGGACCCCCCCCCATTGTCCTTTTTCTTTTAACTCTGCCAATCAGCTGTAGGTGACATGAAACGGTCATAGCACTGACTCCAAATACTGTTGCAAGTTCTCGGTTTGCAAATATCTGAGCGACGTTGTGGTTCTGTTTCGCTTAGTACCCTGCCGTGAAAATTGTAGTAGGCAGAAAATAAAAGGTAGAACTCAAAATATTTCAAATAGAGATTGCAAAATCTGTTTTCCTGGAACGACGTTTTCGAATGGACATTGTCATTTCGTGATTTTTTTTACACTAAGTGTTTGCTTGACAACCACCACGAATATTTGTTCTATACGGTAAAAATTACCACAAGTTTTTTCTCTGTTAATCAAGGTGTTCTTCTCCAGGTTCAATAATTAGACACAATGGCCACCTGTTGTTGATCTCTTCAAACTTTTAGCACTGATTTAATGATGGATCTGAATCCACCTTGGAGTTTCTTTTTGAATAAGGCCACTTTATGCTCTGTTCGAAAGACAGTGTAGCCATCCTGTCGTCATATGCACTCGCGTTCATTTAGCAGAACGGAGTTCTTCATCAGTTCTTTATCCACACTTTTGCATCGCATTGTTAAGTACTGAATCGTTGTTTATAACGTCCAGCTTTCTTTGGGTTGGAGAAAGATCTTCGCTTCACGACGGTTTTTGCATGACTCGACATCATAGATATTGTGCAGAACCCAGCACCCTTTCCTCTCGATTCCTCCCCTCGGACCTGTCACTATCATAATCCACGAAGACGCCCGGATTTTGCGAATGTCTTAACCATTCATGATTTTCCCTCCTTCATCAAGAACGTCGTTGAATGTTGGTTGAGTCCACCTGGAATCCTGACATAGCTGTGCTGCGGCGTTACCATGGCAGACACCACACAACTCTGTCGTACATTTCCTCACTGTGGTGGGATATGGAGCTTGGTAGGGCCCGGGTTGAACTACCACCTTGTTCACAATGAACGTCGTCATAACCATTGCCCTATCCTCCTCTCTCTTCACTTTATAAAGAAACTATTTTCTTACGAAATAGGTGTGACCGGAGCTGATGTTGCAGCGTGATAGCTCATCACTATTAAGTCGTCCTAACGTCAACAAATTTCGCAACTGTTATAGTCTTTTGAAGGAGCGCGACATAAGCACCAATTGACCGAAGCAACCGATATTCGAAAAAGTGTAAGAAAAGATGAAGTGAAGGATAACAGGTGTGTGCTAGTGTGAATGTGAAAGAAAGCACGAAGTATGGTTCGTTGAGACCAAGAGCTAGGCTTTAAAATTCTGGTCAACAAGATAAACGAACTAAAAGAAAAATTACACATGTGGTCATCTTCGGGACCACTAGAAGAAGTGAAATCGATTTAAGAACTGGTAATTTCAGATGTTCATGTTCCCTAGTGAAGTTCTTCCTTCGTAGTGTAACGTTGCCGAAATATGGACCGATAGCTCCACTTCCGTATCATTTAAAAAATAATCGAAACTTCTAAAAAACGAGCAAGCTGAATCTCTGAAGCACCAAAACCGAGTCCAGAAACATTACACACTTTAGTGGCCGCTTTTCAAATACTTGAGAAACTTATGCCAGTGGTTTCCCGTGAATTCCTTTACCGTAGTCATATACAAAAACGATAGATTACTTCCATAGATGGTGATATGAAAAGATATACAACTACTCAAACATTTGCTCAAATATGTTTATCAAATGGACGAATCGAACTTTTGCTTCAGAATGGCTCATTCCCTCTTCCTTGTTTGTTTCAGTAAAAGGACTAGACCTTACTTTATGTCAGCTAGCAGTAATATTGTAAGCCAAATGACTATTTCGAAATGACTATGTCTGATGCCGATAGCGTCGCCTTGAAGCAGCAGTGTGGTTTTTTTTGCTTGCTTGTAACTGTTTGGACGCTCAATCGGGAATTATAGCTAGCCGAAGTAGATGGATGGCCAGCTATCTAATAAATGATAGCTGCCTTGGCTTGGGGAAGACCACCCGTTGAGCAGGGATGCAGTCGGAATGCGACTGGCAGTAAGCCAACATCTTTTGCGCTTCCCAGCCAGCTGATTACGTAGGTTCGAGTCCAGCAATACCCGTCATGCTCAGAGTCTTTCCTCATGAAGATCGAATCAGCAATGACGGCGAAGAAGAATAGTCTGCCAAATCTCAGGAAGGACTGACTTTCTATTAAACTCAGTATCGGTCAATAATTCGCTGTTTTTCTTGGTGAACACGAAGTTACTACTACATTATTTATTCACTCACAACAGTTGACGTTTCGGCGGGTTCATCTTCTTCGGAGCTTGGAAAAGTCAAATTGACATGCAAACACTTTCATAACCTCACGAGACAAAACTTAGTACACAGGTTCTCATTCCCATACTAAATAGCTTTCTTTTTAAAAGGAAATGATTGATTATAAATGCTATGTTTCAGTCAGAATTTCTATTTTTTGTAAAAGTCTAATGTTTTTTCTTCTTTAAACATTTCTTTATTCATTAATAAAAGTTTCAGTGCCGTTAGTGCACGTAGAAATGGAAGTTAACTCCAGTGCATAACATAGATATTGATTAGGTGCAGTGCAACAAACTTTTTTGGTAACCTGGACATCAACATCTTGGCCCAATGTTTATTGTTTTACTATATGCATATGACTTCAAAAAACAGTACACTGACTTAAATAACCATTGACCCATATAACTTCTTATTGGTTAGAGAAAAACTACAACTGAGGAAGGAAAATAAGAAAAGAAAAACAAGTTTGAAGGCTCTATGAACCCTTCTGATATCTCAGTAGTGAATACAGTAGATGGCAATGCTGAAGCTGAACTACCCACCTGTCTACGGGTCTCAGAAATAACTTGGGTTTGCAAACGTCAATAGTGACTACTTTGTTATACCACTGTGGGTTATAACGACACATCGGCCATGAACACCTATAACAAGGCAGTCCTGCAAGCGAGGAATTCATCATTGCGGAAAAAATACAACTCCATACATCATTGTTACGGCATTAGCTTCACGAACCGTACCACGAGATCCTGAAAAAGTAGTGCCGGAAACGAAACGGTCACCATATCCGAATGGTGGTTGGTAGTTGCGCACAGCTTCGCTTTTGGTCCGCCTCGGGTCCTGTGACGGCAATCCGCCCGAGTGGTCGGGGCTGCCCGCTATAGCTGCTGCTGCTGTTTGTGTTTTCCCACGTTTTGTTAGCCCCGAGGCGTCTGGCTTCTCTGCGTTCTGCCGACTCGGAGCGATGGCGGTCAGAGACGCAGACATCCACACATGCACACTCAACAAAACGCTGCCGTCGAGCCGTCAGCGATCAACATGAGCGCGTTTGATCTACGTTGGCCCGTTTTTCATCAATTTCCCGATCGTTCTGGATGGATAATCCAATGCGGTTTATTTTCTTTCTCACACCTCCATTCGTTTTTATTATGTTCTCGATTTTTCTCTCGCTTTGACCGCGTATGCGTTTCACAGCAGTTGGCGATTGGCGGAGAAAGCTATTATCAGGACGTGGCTCTTCAAGAAAACTTGGTAGAAGCGCAGAAATGAAGTCAACTAGTCCATTCATCTCTTCTGTCCCTATTTTTGATCAAAGAACCCATGAATTTTGTGGTTACCGTATTACCAACGTTGCGTCGTCAGGACGGATCCAGTTTGGCTACAGTAATCAGACACATTCGCTAGCGTAGCACGCGTAAACGAGAGAACACAGCTGTGTATCAATTGTGTTTTGAGAACTACATCTCTTCGAAGTCAGAAAGCATCTAAATGACACGCCCAGAGTGAGAGCGACAAAGCGGAAAGCGGCCAATCCCACCAACAACGCCTGTTGTGTTGCGTGGTTTTTTTCGCGCTATCAGCGTTGTGGACGAGTTTTCATGTGTGGAGACATTGAAACGCTATGTATTTCAGGCTAATGGTGGCCACTGAAAACTCTAGGATTGCCATAAACGCCACACATTTCAGTAGTTTATGGATGAGACTCCATGTAAAATTGCCAGCAATGGGGGTGGGACCAGCTATTGCCCTTTGACGATACAATGATGTCACCTGACGTCAGTTACTCTTTGGTTCATGTATTTTTTAGCGATTTCTAGGAAACATCCATAGTCTTTTTAAGATTTATGGGAAGTAGCGAGAATATTTCTGATATTTGAAATTCACCATGGCTGTATGTTTACAGTTTTCTTTTCATATTAGCGAAACAGTCACTATTCCTTAATCTTTCATCCCTGTCGTGATTCATATATGACTCATTCGGTCTCATTTCATCATCTGCTTTTACTAAGATAACTTGAGATAGGTGTATGTCTAATATCTCATAAATTCATTCATACCCTCACTTATGCAGATCCATAAGAAACAAAGGTGGATGAGAATTCGGTTATTGTTCATTTTTGGTCTTCCTATTCGTTTGTGGAAAAAAATTGTGCCCTACCCAAATCGTCATTGTCTATGATTGGTTTTTTGGTCCCTTAGTGGTGTTTGCTCACCTTTGGTCATCAACACTCCAATTTCCCGCTGAATTTCATTTTCTGCCGGACCCTTTCGAGCATTGCTGCATCACATAGGGCTTCCTGAATTTCAGTTTTGATAGCAGAATTACTACAAGCATCAGCATATACTTGTACCTATGAAGCTAATCCTGCCTCGTATAGTCCTGTTTTTTATTCCTCTTCTTTTATTTCATTAAGTGGATTCATTCGTGGTGGTGCGGCGCCACTTTTTCCGCTAAGTCGACGTCTTCTTACTTATCTTCTTCCTTGTGGCATTGTTGATGTCCACATAAAGAACGAATGAGATTTGAAATTATAGAATTTACTGAAGTAAAACTTACGACGTAGTAAAGATTATCCTGATATTAAGAAAAGAACGCTGAGTTTTTTGTGTGATTGTAGGTGGAACGCAACTGACGACGACTGTAAATCCTACCACGTTGTCCCAAGAAATGCTTTTCTCCGTTGAATAGAAGTTACAATTGTAGACTTAAATGACTAGATGACGAATGAGAGCACCGCAACTTTTAGAAATGTGCTGCGTCGCAATCTTATTTCTTTATCTGACAAGCTGTTTCCTCTTAGGTCGTCACATTTCAGACCTAGAATGTATTTTCGTAGTGTCCATCCGTTATACGTCGTCAAGGTTTTGTTGTTTTGTTGTTGTATTGGTTGTCTTTCGGACTTTCTTCGACCTTACTCTCTTCCGCCTCCATCTAGCACTAACCACCTGTGCGAACGTGGCAATACCCGATGTTACTTGATGATAGAGCCGGCGATGTTACTTTTTACAAACGATCATATTTTGGTGTGCTGGAGTGGGCAGTATGATCCTACTCCATTTATTCAGCGAATTCTGAACGACTGAATCGATCGAATTCGAATTTTTTTTAGCGTCGATGGCCGTTTCTGAAATACCGTACTCTTTTACGTTTCTGAAAGACAAAATGTTGTAGCAAAAGTAAATAAAAAAAGGATAGAGCGTTCGACACTGGCTAATCCCCTGGGAATGTGGCATGCATTCGACTCCATTCGTAGCATTATGAAAGTGAGTGCATATTTCGCCTGCACAAGACCTTTGATATCCAACCGATATATTAAGTCAGTACTTTACCATTCCAACCAATTTGCTGATCCGGGATGCATGGAAAGCTTAGTTCTGGACGCGGGCTGGTACCGCTGGCCATGGTCATAGCAAGAGCACCTATATAACCACTGCGCTATACGCACTTTAGTACAAAGATCTGCAAGGTGTACTGACACGACTCGAGTATTCCACTTGTAGATGGTCCACTTGTTTTCGTGAAGGAAATTTTGAAGTTAGCTGTACGCAACCTTCTGAATGACTGTGCCGCAAGACAGACAACGAAAAAATCTTTCCTTTGCTTGAAAACAAGCAAAACTGAACGCTTTGAAAAATCGCAGAGGTATGAGCAATCAGGCATTTCGATTTCGTTATGGGAGCAGAATGACAAGTAAGACCGATAAATGGGTACCGTGTAGGTTTTATTCGAAGTAGGTGGTTACAGTTCGATGAAAATAATACCTTACATGGCAGCATGAAGTAAAAACTGAGGGTCCAATTGCGGCTAAGTTCTTTTAGCTGCATCGAAAACTGGACTAAACTCGAAAATGGTTATGTTCCGCCTATGTCAGAAACGAAATGGAGTTCCGTATTATAATCTGCTGCCAGAAAGCGAAACTCGTTCATTCCCACTTGCTTTATTTTTAGGACCCCGTTTAAAGTATTGTACATACCTCGGCACTTCATTGTCTTCCACCCATCCATCTGTCATCGACGAAACCTTTCGGATTTGCTTGTGGGATTGCCTGTGGCTTGAGAACTTTGTCTTTTTCATGAATGTCGTTAAGCTGGTCGAATTGATTCTTTTTGGAGTCAGGGTAGTGTTCCCAGATCCTCATCATAGAGGTAGTGGCTGACCTTCATGTATCGGAGCAACCTTTTCACAGGCAAGTATGGCAAAATTTGCCGCGCCGTGAGCAAATAAGGGTCGAATGATCCGGGCGACTTAAATCTATCGACCATGCTTTGCTTATCATCTCCAAGCAGTGCATTTCCTTTTTTAAACCACAGTATAAATTTGAGTAGACGTTTTGGAACCGAATAAAGAATTTCTTAGATTGCAGTCTGCTGTATTCAAGCGAAGCGGTGAGAATAGGTAAACAGAAAAGGTGTTACATTTCATCACGAAACTCTAGATTACACATAGCTTTGTTAGACCTCCAAAGACTATTAGGACTTTCTTTGAGTTTGTTTTGCTTAATTATTTAGCATGTCTTTAAAACCCTCTGACTACCACTTATTCATATTTCTGCGAAGGATTTCAAATTTTATGAATTTTATTTCTTTGGAAACGTACGGAAACGATCAGCACTTCTTCCCTTGCTCAGAAATCCCTGAAGTTACACGGGCGAGATCCCATAAAATTCCTCGAAAGAGAGTGGAATGTCGTGGAATTATACGGCGCGTCCATTGCTGATGAGTTGTATTTTGAAAGAAACGTTTTATATTGGTTTTTCAATGCAAAAAAGAAGTGTAAACAGGCGAAGTCTTCAACCAACCAGGTACTCAGTGAATGAACTCTTAGCAGCTTTCTGAAAACATAAAAATCTGGAATCCTGGGAGGCGACGGTAAGATCCGGAAAGATTTACGCTTCTTCACATATTAGGGTGCTTAGTTCAACATTATAAGGCGATAATCTACTGTAGCCAGCTATGGTGGACTCGTTCAAAAATACCTCAAGCACACAATCGAACTAATTCCAAGTAATGTACGTTATGTCATTGATAAGCTTAAACGAGGTTGTTACCAACCATTTATTCGACTTACGACTCGACACCTTTGTCTGCAATGTTATCGAGTATTTACTGGACAATTGCAAGCTAAGTTTTCAGCAAGAATTATAGATCAGTGTCTCCTGTTGCTATTTATTGCCTCTGTCATGAGATCAGCAAACAATGGAGAAGCATCTGCTGCTCCGATATGTCGTCATTGCTGTTGTTGTTTTTCTGCCCCGAGGGTGTTTTCTTCGTGTCTCGTCACGCTCCCATCAGCTTCTCGTCTTTCCGCATTTCGCCAACAATACGCTCTATCGCCCCTGTCGTTAAAAACCGATGTGCCAAATCGACCATTCCGATTTCGTGAATTATAAATCCCACTGACATTTTCGCATGTTGACATCATCCACAACAAATCGGCTGGATGGGCACGCTAATGAAGAAAAACAGAACTTAGATTTTATTGGAAGGATAAGACGATTGGCAACGATCTTCTGAGGATACATTATGCATTAAACTCCATTCATAGCATCGTAAAGTGATTTGGTGTAAATTTGCCTTATTCAACGGCTTATAGATCTGAGATCTCCTGATGTAGCAAGTCACTGTTTGTTTATCGTTCCAGACAAGTCCAGTATCATTTTATTGGACAGACGGAGGATTTACTTTATCTAAAGAGCCGGATCCTACCGGTGATGAGATGTGGGTTGCACGACACCACCAACCACTACGCTACATTCCTCCTTAGTGCTTATTAAGGAATGTAAATGTTTTAGTAGGCATCTAGGGAACAAGTTTGCAAGTCGAGAAGGCGCCGTGAGATTTTCGACATTCTTGCTCTTTTCAATGAGAAAAGATCTCAGCATCTTCACGGTGTGGGAACGAGCAGAGCTCGAGATGAAGTCACTCCACAAATCTTCACTTTTCACAGCTTCGCGTGCTTCCACTTTTGTTCTTTAGGCGCTGTGTAT